TATTGCTTTAAAGCAGGCATGGCCAATCTGTGGCTCTGGAGCCACATGCAGCTCTTCAGCAGTTAATATGCATCTCCTTGAATTTTTGCACAGGCACACGCTGACCAGGTTCCAAATGCAAGGAAAATTCAAGTTTACACAGTTTGACCAAATGGAAGCTGGTCACCATGTGCTTGTGCAAAGATTCAAGGAGATGCATATTAACTGTTGAAGAGCTGCATGTGGCTCCAGAACCACAGGTTGGCCACCCCTGCTTTAAAAGGAAACAAATGTATATCTCCTAAAAAAGTATACTTTTTGAAATGTCATGGACTCACCACTGAGTATGGGCAAATCCAAGCACAGATTTCTATCCCGTTCATTATTTTATATAAATGTAATATGGCTGCTATTATTTCTTTCCTTTCTGAACTACATTTGAGTCATATGGGGCCCTTCACTGCTTTGCAAAACTGCTGATAAGGAAGCATGTTGTTATTTCGCTATTATGGACATTCTGTTATGACTTCCAAAGAAGGTGCTGCAGTAATGCTCCCTCTAGTGACTTGCCGTTCACATAACTAATAGAGGCTTAAAAGATAGACAGCTATTGGATTATGTTCCTTTTTCATGTGCATTAAGAAAGTTGTTGGTGGGTGGGTTCAGGCTTCATCGCTGTGTTTCTCCTGATTAAAGTGTAGAGAAACTCTCTTTTTCCCCTTGGTCATGTTTACCTAACCCGAATAAAACCCTGAAGTTTCACAAATTTTCCCCACTTTATTGTTTCCTACCTTGAGATGCATATCTTGGCCACAAGCCTAAAGGAGCCAGCATGGTTCTGTCTTTGAACAGTTCATCAAGTCCAGATCAGAGGTAAGCTTGGACCAGTTGGGACATAGCCCGGGGAAAGAAACCATAGAAAGCCTATGACTGCTGTAGTTTTTAATAAACCACAGTAGTTCCATTTCAAAGAACAAATGTATGTAATCCCATTATAATTCAGTGTGTCTCTAATATCACAGGGTCACAGAGTAACCTACAGCAAAGTAAAACTGTAAACTTGAATTTTCCTTGCAGTAAGAATCCTTAAATCTCTCTAGCCTCAGGCCTCCTGTTCTTTTAACCCAGTTCTGATCAAAGCTAATCCTTGTTTGTCTCAGGGACTGCTATTTGTATCAGTGACTACTCCCACAAGCATAGTGTGCTGGCCTTATAACACCAAAAAATCCAACCAAAGTTTCTTCATGTTAGTGCACTCATCCTAGGTTGTTTAGCTGTTCCAGGTAAAATTCTGCCTTGTGGTTATCAAAGGTGTGCCCAGCCCACCCTATTCTCTTTCACATGTGGACCCAGTGCAGATAAACTAACAAGTCAAAGTATTATCCTTCTGTAACACATCAAGAATTCATTTAATTTATGTTCTCTTTTCTTGTCCATTTTTTTGCTTCCAGAGGACAAAGTGTGGACAACTGTGAACCATGATTTGCAAATGCAGACTCCTGTGATAGGCAACAGCCCAGAGAAGTACTCCGTACTGCAACTTAATTACAGTGCCACCATGGATCAGATCTCTGCCATCACCAATAGTGCTGAGTACTGTGAGCAGTACATTTCTTACTCCTGCAAGATGTCAAGGCTCCTGAACACCCCAGGTAGGCTGAGAATGGAATATTACTTAATTATCACAGTGCTAGATTCAGAATTATCTGAACTGTTCAACACTTCAATAGCTTGTTCAGGCAATGAATGAATTTAATTATTCCTGTTGCCATTCATGAAAGTTCACAAAAGAGGTAAATTAATGAAACTGGGTAACTGCCTTTTTTTAAGGAGAGTTAACCTATAGTATACTTATTCCTTAAATTGGTTTTCACAGTGTCAGATTTCTGTGGTTTCCTATCAGATTCTGTTTCTCAGAAAAGAGGTTAGGCAGAGGACAAGGCAAATTTGATTTAAAATTTTCTCTATAAAGGTATTCAGAAGTTTGAGCTGTATCCTGCAGTCTTCATGTCAGTCTTTACGTACTGAAACCAGCAAGAGACTTTCCTAAATTGAGGTTTTAGGATTTGGCATGCTTCTTTTCATTTAATCTCTGTGTAAGAGTAAACTGAAATATTATGTGCAGCCTGTTGTCCTGCAAATAGAGAGGAATAGAACTGCTTTGTAGTACAGGGATGCCAGGAGGGGCACGTCGTATTAATACTGAGATCTCATATTAGAGAATATGCAGATTTACCTTTCTGTGATCTAGCTTTTCTGATATAGTAAAAACATTTTTAAAAAGTCTAACTACCTAAAGAATACATGTTTTAACTTCTATCTGATATGAACAAAAGTATCAGTTACAAAAAAATTCTACAGAACCAGTAAAATCACAAGAAAGAATAAGTTCTACAAAACGCTTTGGTTTATTGTTTCAAAAACAGAATATATTCTTTAATTGTTTATGCTAATATTTGGTGTTAAGTATCCATTTACGTGCACTTGGCTAAGACTTGATGATAAGGGGAAGCACATAAAATATTTGTATGGTTGTGAAATTAATTTATTATGATACAAGCAATTAAATGTGCTGCAAATGAAACTAATAGCTGGACACTTAAAAAAATATCCTTTATTTTAAGTGACTCCCCCTTTTGAACTCATGTTGGTGAATTTCCTTGTGGTGTTGCTGATAAGAGATTCATTTGGCATGAATGTGGATCTTATGTTTATTTCCATAAGTATTCCCTTGTAATTTAGTATTAGTTAATAGACACTACATCGCTTGTTATTCCCCCTCCTTCCACCCTGCTGTTTATTTAACTATTTCTAACGCATGGTTTGTCCTGTTGTTATTATTTTGCTTAATTTAGCATAGCGAGGAAAATTTACAGAGAGGAAAATATGCTGCTCTTTCTTGTGCTTTCACATACAGTATCCTGAATCATCCTAAAAATGGCATACCCATTCTGAAGTTAGTCCACGTCAGAGGTGAACTAACTTTAGATCAACCAAGGGGTAACCCAGTCTAGCAAGGATTAACCCAGCCTAGTAAATGCCTACATGCATTCATGGAAGAGCCCTAAGGCTGGGAAGCCCAGCCACGTACCACAGCTCTTGGGGGATGTGTTGGTTTTACCTGAGCCTTACCAGGGGTGTTGGTTTTACCTTACCCCCCAACTTATTAGCAAGTGTCCTTGCTAATAAAATAAAATCAGATAACATTTTAAAATATGCTGTATTTATCAGGCAAAGTTTTTGTTAGACTATAGTTTTCATCCATAATTGCTTTTTAAAACAGATAGCATTTTCTATATTTTAAGTGAGATAAAAAAACAGCAAAAGGAAAAGGCAGTGCAACATTCCAGTTTTAACTACTTCTTTTTTTTTTTCTCTTATGGGAATCACCATACCGTAAGACCTGAGTCTCCCCACCTTGTACACAGTTCTTTCAGGGTTTCATCTGAGATATATAAGCATGTGTTAGAACCATCTGTTAGAACAGATGTTACCATATTTACAGTATGGGAACATCTGTAAATATAATGTCTCAGTCTTGCTTATATGTAATTTCAATATATCTACTCTTTAGAGTAGCACTCTGTAGAGTGATAACTTCTATAGATACCAATTTCCAAAAAAACTTGCCAAATCCTGCTAAAATAATGCATTGAATCTCCAGTTGTTCTAAATTGTATTATTGCTATTAATAAAAAGTTGTTCATTCCTGTAGTGGCAGCTACAGAAAAATATAGTATTTGTTGGGAATATGCTTAAGCAGGAAGCATGTTGTTTCCTTGATTTCCCTCTCAGGATCTCATTAGTTCCCCTCTTTCTGATGGATGCCACTCTACAAAAGATAGCCGTTTAAAACACTTTTGCTACACTAGCTATGCATTATCAATTTTTTATTCATGCTTCTAATGTTGAATGTGAACAGACTCACTGCAGGTACTCCTCTAAAAAAAAAAACTATTGTTTTTTAAAGTGGTTTGAGATCTTTGTATGAAAAGCACTATGTCAGAGGTAGGCTTTTCTTTTTTGCAACAAAACAGTACTCTAGTCAGCTCATTGAAGAGCTTCAACCTTCCTCATAGATTATTCAAGCTCTTTGTTTTCTGTCTTTTGTGTGTTCTCGTCTCTTTTGAATGCAGTTTCAGGCAAACTAGCATACTAAAATACATCCCCAAAAAGCAATTCTTTTCAACACAGCTCACTAACTATGGGACTGGCCTTAACCTCATAGAACACAATGCCATTATTCTGATTGGTGCAAGAAATATAGCAACAAGTTTAGGTGTGCCTTATGACTGGAAATAGTATTTTAATAATAAAAAAACTTCTAAACATTTTCTATCAGAGTCCAGCAGAAACAATGCCTAAAGATCCAGTGGCTAAAATGTGCATAACATAAAATAAAGATCGTCAAGAACTGGTATTTTTGGCCTATTTTTCTAAAGTTAAAAAATAAATTAATTTTATTTATTTTGCTGCCTAAGCCTGAAGGCGCCAAACAAAGACAGTTGAACACAAAAATTAATCAAAGGAGCTCGGCAGTAGCCTAAGAACAGATGTCAAGGTAGAGGAGAGAAAAGAAAACACCCAGTGGTGGTTCTGGGGGTACAGGGAGGAGGGGAGGTTGGGCATGCAGTTATACCCCTTTGCTTCCTGCTTCAATGAAAAATTAAAGCAAACTGCCTTGTAGGGACAGCCACAAGCCTATTGAGGCATAGTTGGGTGAGTCCATTGACTTTGTCTCACTATTATCTACTTGATTTCTCCAAATCTTTTTACTCCATAGGTATTAACAAACCTTGATCTTCTAATCAATTTAGCCTTTTTCTAGAATTATTCTGTTTGTTTTATATTTTGGTTAATGGTTCTCTGGTCATCCCCCACTCCCAGCACATCCAGTAAAGGTGTGCTGCTACTTAGGAACCCATACTGGGTGGCTAAGGCATTCAATTTGACAACCAACCAGAGACAGGGAGGGGAGGGGCAGTGTTAAAAGTAGGTTGAGCTATGAGGTGGCACAGTAGAGGCAGGAAGGAGTTGCAAAGGTGAGTTGAATTGATAAGTAGGTGACAGGAGCTATGGGATAGGAGCTATGGGAGGCTGAATGAGGGCACAACCAGAAGCATAAAGCTGGGAATGAGTGGATAAACATCACTGATTCCACTGCATAGAGGTGCTGGTAGCTGAAGTGAGTCAAAACCAGTGGTAGCCTTGTCCCCACCTGTCCCCCGGGCAGCATCTGTGAAGATTTGGGGAAAGTTTGGGAGGGCTTTGAGAGGAAGGAGATCTCAGTAGCCATGAGGGACTGGATGGGTGGAGGGGTGATGGGCATCAAGGGGTCTTTGGGGGCAAAGGAGGCCTGTGAGATGGGAACATGCTGTGGCATTATGGGAGTACAGAGGTGTGAGGTGCAGTACGGTCTGGGGATGAGGGCTGGTGGAATTGTGTAGAAGTAAAATGGAGTGTGAGGGGAGTTGGGATCAAGAGGAATTATGGGCATGGGGGAACGGGATTTAAGGAGCTGCAGTGAGGTTTGAATACTCAGAGGGGCAGGAAAGGGGATGGTCAGGAGGGCTGAGGCATGATAGGAACATATTTGTACAGGAAGCAGCAGATTTCAGTGAGGGGGCAGTTTAGGACTCAGTAGGTTGTGAGAGGGATGGGGGAGTCTGATGGGTTTGGGGTAGTATGGGGTGGGGCTAAGCATGGAGATATGTGAGGTAACAGGACAGAGTGGAACTAGGGAACATTTGAGGTGTCGGGGCAATGTATAAAGGGCAATGAGGGGAACTTTGGGGTCAGAGTGGAGTGTCTGGGGAACTTGGATAGGGGTGAAGGGAACAGCTCTGTTCCATGGCCAGGCTTGGAGGTAACAGCTGTACCTCCAAGGCACAAGGCGCTTGCTTCACCTTGGATCTGGCAGTCAGTTCCCCCTCCCCCCTGACTCAGTTATATTAATTTTTATTTGGATCAGAGACTGGCCCCTGGAGTATTAGTAAAGCTTCTTGTTTGTTTTTAATTACAGAAAGATATGCATTATATTATTGGATGATGCACTACACACCTGCACCCCCCTTTTCAAAATCCTAGAACTGCCTATGCTCCCACCCATCTCTATTAAGTAATAAACACACTGGAGACTTAGGAGCCAGCTTGTACTAGGGGGACATACACTGGAGATTGTCGCCTGTTTCACATATGACATGGAGAAGGATGATCTTGCAGTTTAGGCACTGAATAGAGGGCACGTCTACACAAGATGCTGTATACACAGAAGACTAATTTACTAAACATCAGTGCAGCAGGCAAAAACTGTGCTAATGCACAGTAGAATTAGTCTACTGTGCATTAGCATCACAAAAAAGTGTGTGCCTGCACTAATGCTCAGTAGCACCAGTTATGGCACATTCAATTAGTATCTGTTATTACAGGTATTAAACTTAATGCACCATAATTATGGCACATTAATGAACATGTAGACACACCCAGAGAGTATGAAGATCCTGGCTCAATTACTGATTCTGCTTCAGATGGTCTTTGTGACCCTCCTTTGTTTTTCCTTGTGTTTTGCATTCAATTAAAATAAAATACTAATATTACTTATAATAATACTATTCTGTTGTCTTCATTTAGACTTTAAGCTCTTTTGAGCAGA